GGGGGCGAGCGAGAAGATCTGCGAATGTTTATGTTAATTTCCACATTACATATCTCACGATGTTGAATAATTTTTAAAGTAATTCAAGGAGAAATGACAAAACAAAAAAACTTGGGATTAATTGGTCACAATTAATTTATTAATTCTTGTTTTGTCACTTTTCTTCTTAATTCTTGTTCCATCTAGACTAGCTATTACGTATTTAATGTAAAGTTATGGACTCGAAGGTCGGATAATCCTTTGGAACTGTTATTTTTAAATATCGTGAGATTTAAGAGTGAAAACTGTGGAATAACATGCAGTCTGTGTTATTATATTCGGAGACATTCTAAATGATTGAGGGATTGCGAATGTAATAATCGTAATTGAAAACTAGAATGCTTGCTCGTTTGTTTCACTTAGCTCAGATAATTCACAGAAAATCAAACAAAGTATGAAATATTGTTACAAAAAAAGTTGAAAAAAAATTTTTTTTTAGATATTGCTACATGATTTTATACAGTAGTAATTGAAAATTTGAATATGCAAATGATATACTGTGTACGTCTGTGTGATCCTAAGGATTACTATCGATTTTTTTTTTCATCAGAAATTAAAGGGAATTTTATCTGAAAAAAATGGCTTTGGTTACTGTGGCAAAAATTTCGTAATAGAAAGTTTTTCCATTACGTTTTTTTAAAATCAATAGAAATTAAACAATCTCTTTCTACTCTCCTCATCCCCAAAATCCACTAATCTGATGTAAGAAAATACATGTATAAACTTGTCGTTTTTTTAAATTAGATTACAATTTCTCAATTTGCGTCCAAGCGCAGAAGGAGTGAAAATAATTTTTTAAATAAATATTATAATTTCCGCTCATTATAAGTAGACTACAATTGTTACCGACTGGGATACCAGTTGACATATTACCTACGCAGGAGGTAAATGACCATGGAGGCGCAGACGAGGACTCCTCTTGAAATCTTCTTTACCTGCCGTTCGATGTACATGAAATCTACATTTTCGGAGGAGAGAAAAATCAGCTGAATACCATTTCGGTGTGGTGATGATTGAGTAGGATGCCTTCTGTTAGAAATAACACAGGTTAACGTTTGATAATTTTGTGAGAAGAATCAATAAAGTTATCTACCTTCAGTTCTATAACATCGTCTATGAATAAAATACTTCATGCATCACGTTTTCAGCCTTTATATAAATGAACAATTGAGTTTTCATCGTATTCATCCAATCAACTATTGGAACTCGGGAAATCTGGTCTCAAGCCTTTTTGATGATGCACATCTCAAAAGTATGCGCGGTAATTGACTTTGAAACTTTGAGAATAGTTTTTGAACGTTCTTAACCATATATATAGCGATTTTCATGTCATTAGACTTAGACTAGTGAGGCTGCACCATAAAAACAAGTGTCTGATTTTTAGACCATTTGTCTCAAAGAGTGACAAGGAGATGAGGTAATAAGTAGATATCAGAATCATAAATTTTTTCAAAAATTAACATCTTTCTTTTTACAATGCGTGCGCCCTGCTGCCTGTAGAGTAGGGATACGAAATCCACCTGAAAAAAATAGAAAAATAAAAAAAAACCCGATAAACACGGCTTATTGCACAGAGTGACATAAACATTTTTATGTAGTTAGGGTAAGAAAAACACAATCCTAACCTTCGCACTCGATCTAACTTCTCGTACCACTTTAGTTTTGGAATTATAAAGACCCAAGATGGTTGAACAAGATTTATTATAACTCATTACACTAATTACAACGAAATTATATAATCTGATAGAGAATCTGCTGTCTTAAAAGGCCCGGTTGAACGGATTTTTGCCCGACATGTCCCTAGAAAATTCCCCAGAAAATTGCCGAAAAAAAGCATTTTAGATGCAATTTTATTATGACTGTATCGGTTGACGAAAAAATCTGATTTTTGTTTCAAAAATCAGATAATTTATTCCGCTTGAGTGGTAATTGGTTCTGGAGGGGGGAAAATGAGTTCATATATTTTTAATATTACTTAGAAAATAACCCAAAAAAAACACCACCATCCCCCCCTAGCCAAGTCACACTAGCGTGTGTCGCATATGCACCAGCGACGGTTGCAGGGTCCCTAGACGACCGCCATTTTCCCTTACTTTAGGATTTATATTCAAATTTATTATTTTCAATTTCTAAGTTAATTCATCGAGATGTTTTTTGATAATTTTTAAAATAGAGAAATGTTTAGGTTTTCATTGAACAAAGACTCGGGAAAAACCCAAGAACAGGAAAAGAGCAATAAACTGGGGAATGTCCCAACATCCTCAGACCACCCGGAGGTTAATCCCTTTCAAGTACCTCTTTTTTCTTATATGATGAGTTTTTCGAGTGCAATTTGACCCGTCGGAGTCAAAAAACCTTTCTTGAGAGAGTTTATTTCTTTCCCAAGAAAACTTTGGAATTTCCCTTGTTTTCCCCAACATGTGTGGGTGAGGCCCTTTGTTTGGGTCACGTAAGCCCGAGAGTTTGGGGCTGGGTTAGAGCGAACGGTTGTGGGGGTGTAAGACCAACCCCATCGACCAAGTCCAAGGACATGATTGGCTCCCCACTCCTTCGAGTGGGATGACTTTTTCGCGCGTTAGACTTAGAATAATTTTAAGACTAGAATTAACAGCAGATCCACCACCTACGTGGACTAGTGAAGATCTAGAGATCTTCTCCTTTGAGTTTGTGTTCAAAGTTTCTATTTGTTATTGTCAACGAAAGTCAAAGTGCAAATATATTCATTATAATTTTATCTTTTACATAAATCCAGTGTTTGTGTACAATTATTTAAATAAAACCCGCACTTGTGCAGTAGAGTGCTTTAGCACTCTACGGGCAACGGACCCGCCATCTATATTACAAAATAACCAGCTCGGGACGTAACACGTGACACCCTGTCAATATGGCGAGGGTAATTATCAAAAATAAAAACACAAATTCCAATTTTCACAGACACTGCACACTCCCGAGACCCAATTACCAGTCCGTGAACTATTTTTTACTATTTTCCGCGAGTTATTCCGAAGCAATTAGACGCCGCTAATTCCCATAAAAGACTTGGAAAAAAATGAGGCGATCAGCTGTCGCCATACTGTTTCCCTCAGTTACACGGGAATGTGCCAGATGACGCCACCGAAACCCCCGAATGTTGAAACACCGATCCGAGGATTGTCAAGCGAGATAGCTCAGGAGTGTAACACAATGAGGGCCCACGGGTACCAAGCATTGGTGTATCTCACTCCCACTCGTGGAAATGGAGCAACACTCCGTATTCCACCACCCTACACCTGCCGCAATAATAATAATAATAATAATAATAATAATAATAATAATAAGGCGTAGGGAGTGTGGCGAACCCATCGCCCGGCATGTCCGCAATAGCCATGGTGGTGTCGGGTTAACCACCCGGCGGCACCTATAGCCGGTTCCGTCATCGAGCCGCGGCAGAGCCCCCCACCATCGGTCCCTCTCGGATGGGGACCGCGGATCAGTTGGGAGGGGCGACAGATCTGGATCCAACAATGGTAACAACTTGGCTGTCCATAGGATTAGGTGGTCGGAGGAGCTCAAGGAGGACCTCATGCAATGTTGGGTGGATAGTCAGCCGGCGCAGCGAGGATACATAGCGCGGATGCGGGACTTGTGGTGTGCTATGCACACCGAGTATGCACATTTTAGGGCACAGCATCTTCGAGATCAGGCCAGTCGCTTGCGTCGGCAGGGCTATGATTTGCTCTTCGTTCCACGACGGCTGTCGGGTGGTCGTTTCTCTCAGATTTCTGTGAGAAGCGTCGAACTTCAGCCGGAGCAATCTGCCCGTCATAGTGATGAGGTGCCGGGGAGAGCTTCGAGGGATATGGGATCAAGGGGGAGAGGGTCACGGGGAAGTTCCGTATTCGGCCTGACGATCTGGCGTTAGAGAATGAGGCACTGGCTGCTGTGCTCTCCCCGAACGTTAGCTTGCTCGACATAAACTGGGCTGTGTATGAAGCAGCGCACCGTCTAAAGCCGCGAACCCTTGCAAGGGGATCGTTTGAGCTGAAGATGAGGAGGCGAATTGCACAGCTTCAGGGGAAAATCCAGATGGCTCGGAAGCAGGCGTCGCAAATTCAGTATGTCATTGATTTCGTCGTAAATGGACGAAATTTTACGTCTCTAATTCGCAAAATATCTGCGAACTTGCGGTATCATCATCACACACTGAATAAGGCAGTTCTCCTTATTATCAAGGAGAGATTTGTCGAGAGGGTTCGAGTTCTGGGGGCTACAAAGCGGTCCCTAGAAAAGCGGTTGCGGCGAATGGTGGACAATACTGTCTTTCATTCCGACCCCAGCCGGTGGTTCGAGTCTTCAGCGCCTGCACCCGACAAGATGCCATCAGTCGAGCAGGTTGAGGAATTCTGGGGAGCAATTTATAGTCACGTTCCTCGTCTCATGACGGAGACTCCAGCTCTTCAAGCATTTCGTGCGTTTTGTGAAGAACATCGTCGGCAGCGCGCGGAGTTCACCTCAGTCACTCAGGAGGAAATTCAAGCTGCGCTACGAGGCATGAAGAACCATGCCGCTCCGGGTCCAGATGGCATCAACGCCTTTTGGTGGAAGAAGTTTACCTCGGTTCATAGCCATCTGGCTCGGATTTTCACATCGTTCATCGATGGTAGCGTGATGCTTCCTGAGTAGTTGGTGGAAGGGAGAACTGTGCTGCTTTCGAAGAAGGGAGACTTGTCTGACCCGGCAAATTACCGGCCGATCACGTGCCTGAATACGCTCTATAAGCTCTTCACAGGAGTCTTGAATGAGGGTATCTTGTACGATGTACAACCCGTTCGGCGGCAGATTTATGAACAGCGGGGGGCGAAGCGGCCGCTGTCAGGGTGCAAGGAGAGTTTACTCGTCGATCGGTGCATATTGCGCGATTCGATACAGTATCATCGGCACCTGTCAGTGGCCTGGGTCGACTATCGTAAGGCATTTGGTAGCACGAGCCATGAGTTCATTTTTCTGCTACTCGAGTGCCTTGCGGTCGAGGAAAATATCGTGAGGTGCATTAGGGATCTTGCACCACTTTGAAGGACGCGCTTCACCATAACATGTGGTGAGGGTCGGCTTACTTCAGGGTTGGTGGAATTCAGGAGAGGAGTTTTTCAGGGCGATACCTTGAGTCCTCTCTTGTTCTGCATCTCATTGATGCCCCTATCTGTCGCCTTGCGCGGTGTTGGTGGATACCAAGCCGGAAGACCTGGCGATCGGAGGCATCAGGTTAGCCATATATTCTATATGGATGACCTGAAGTTATTTGCCTCAGGAGAGCGGCAACTCAACCTCCAGCTTGATGTTGTTGCAGTGTACTCACGCGCGACCGGGATGAGCTTTGGATTGGACAAATGTGCAGTCTTCCACATGAAGAGGGGGAAGGTTGGGGACGGGATGGGAGAGATACACCTGGTGGATGGAAGCGTCATTAGACATCTTGGCGCTGAGGAGTCGTATAGGTATCTTGGCTTCAATCAGCGATCCGTAGTGGACGCTGAGGCGGTCAAAGAGACTCTTCGTGAGGAGTATCGTCGGCGGCTTCGGAGAGTTTGGAAGTCCGAACTTTCCGGAAAGAACAAGGTGGCCGCGACAAACATGTTCGCTGTTCCAGTTCTTCTGTACTCCTTTGGCGTGCTCCAATGGAGGAGGGATGAGCTGAAGCAGTTGGACAGGGATACTCGTAAGCTAATGAACATCCACAGGAGCCTACATCCCCGATCTTAATGTCCCCGTTTATAGTTCCCGCGTGACAGTGGTGGCCGAGGACTACTCAGCCTAGAAACTCTCTATGAGCCCTTGGTCCTCGGCTTGGCCTGTGACGTGATGAACGGCTTGGATCCTCTCTTGGAGTTTGTGCACGATCATGAGCTTCATGGAATTCAGGCATTTCTCTACAAGGCGGCGGATACCGCAGCTGAGGCTCTCGGGTTGGAGTTTCGTCGTGGCCGAGGTGGTCAGCTGGCTAGTCATTCATTGGCCAGCATGACTAAATCTCGGCGAAGAGCGACCATCAAGGAGGCGGAACAGTCCACCTTGCTTCGTCTACACGTTGACAGGCCCATGCATGGCGTGTTCTTTCGTCATGTGGAAGAACAGGGCTTGTCCGTCCAGCTGACTTTCTCATTTTTGAAGTCGGCTGGCTTGATGTCTGAAACCGAGGGCTTCATTTGCGCGTGTCAAGATGGCGTGATAAACACCTTGGTATATAGGAGCCGTGTTATGGGGTTGCAAGTCCCGGATGTTAGGTGTCGGGCTTGCAAACAGTCCCCGGAAACTCTGATGCATCTTTTGTCGGCTTGTCCGACATATGCAGTGACGAGTTATATCCACCGTCATAACGCGGCTTTGAGAGTGTTGTATTACCATCTGCGGCACTCTTATGGGATAGACCGGACGCCGATTCTGCCTTATGCTCCAGGAGATATTGAGTCCGTTGTCGTGAATGAGAGGTGTAAGATTTACTGGAACTTCTCGTTTGCGACTATCAGGCCCGTCGCTGCGACGAAGCCTGATATCGTCCTCTTCGACTTTGAAGACAAAGTCATCTACGTGATTGAGTTCTCGGCGCCAGCCGAGAGCAATATATCTGCGAAGGAAGAGGAGAAACGGCTCAAATACCAGCTGCTCCTGTTTGAGCTGCGTCAGTTGAACCGCGGGTTTAGGGTCAAGCTGATCGTCCTGATCATTGGCTCTCTTGGCGGCATGAAACAGTCTTTTGTATCTGCGCT